TGTGATGGCTGAAGCATAAAAAACACAATAAATAGAAGCTTGAGTTCATTATACTTTGTAAGTTATTTTTTTCCTTTCAAGATTTAGACAAGTTTTTAGTTTTCCAGTACTCCTCTAGAAAATGATTACACATTGGCCTAACATTTCAACTTTCATTGATGAGAGGGTCAAGTTTTTTTTATTTTATTTTTTTTTTATAAAACCATGTCGGTACCTGGGAAATTTATAAATAAAGGGTAGTGCTTAAGACTTACCCTATACAATTTAGAGTCCGTCATATGATGACGAAGTTTTAAATATCAGTAAATATACTGATATCAGTAAATATACTGATATTTTCAAAAGAAACCTAATTGAATGTCGGTAACTTCTCGAAATCGTCAGAACTATTTTTCAGTAACCCAAGTAAAGAGAAGGTCAAGTTTTGCACTTTTATTTTTATTCTTTATTTTGCTTTGGTCAGCAGTATCAATGATCAAGTCCCAACATTTTAAAATACTATTTATGTATTACTTTTGTCCTCAAAAAAACTTATACATTGAGTTTTGATAATATACAAATTTGAAAAGTCAATATGAATTATTTTTCTCAGACACAGATGGTATATAATAGATACTTCATCCGTCCTAAAATTATTGTTTAGTTTTTTCAAATAATTTTGCCCCATAATTATAATCTTTTGTTTTACTTTCAAGGGTAAAGTTACACTTTTACCCTTCCTACAGTCTGCCCAATGACATCAAAAAGACGTAGTTTTCCTTTCTCAAACTGAATCTTGAGCATCTCCAAAATTCCTCCCATCTGTGATCTTGAAAAGACATGATTCATAAGTATTTGAGTAATTCGTTCCAAATTAATCGAAATTAAAATCCGATACCTCAACGGCTCAACCTGTGGATCAACATAAAGTTAACTCCATCAGAATAAATTCCGACATAGCCGCAACTTATCTATTCAAGTGATATTTCCAGTGACAGAAAAATCATCTGGAGGAACATTAAATAGAAATTCATAGTAAGAACTTCCCCAAATTCGGATAAATTCATTTGAAAATTTTAATTCGATTGGCATAAGTGATGGCCTCGCAGTTGAAAAGCTTTGTTCATACCATGCCAGCGGGAACTTTGCGTTGAGATAAAGAATTGTCTTTATAAGCACCAAATTCAAAATTAGAGTAGGGAGAATTCTCAAAATTCAAAATTTTTCACCTGAAAATTTTTGTTTGATTGCAGGTGCCTGAGTAAAAACTACATGAAGGTGTTGTTCGTGCCTTTTTAATATGGATGCTCCGTCAAGAAACTAAAAAATGAAGCTTACTGTTTAGAATTTCTTGAAATCTTTATCCGTAGAAAAAGTTATGTATGCAGCGGTATATTTGGAAGGTTGTGTCAAATTATGATTGAGTTTGTCCAAAAACAAAATCTTACATCTTAATTAAACTGAACAATTCTTTCCAGACGGAGGGAGTATAAGAGATCAACGTGACCACTTTCTTTCATGTTCAGCCAGAAACTCATGATACAGGATCATTGAAATGCACATTAGAAAGGAAACCAGAAGAAAGAGCACATTTAAGATCTAGTTGTAATAAAAAAAGTTGGATAATACCGTTCCCCTCGTTGGCAATGCGATCCTCAAATTGCTTTCCATCTGCAAGAAAGTTATGACAAATCTATAACTAAGGTAGAGATTTATTTGTGGTAAAATGAAAATATTAATTAATTTACTGGTAGGAAATTCAAAACGTCAATCATATTCGGTGAAAGGTGCAAGGACGAATTCGTTTTTTCTTTCACAAAAATGGTGAGGTTTCCTTGTTTGTTATTAAAAAGCATTTTATCACCTCTTCTATTGTTGGGAAAGAGATGAAAAAGAGTAGAGATTTTTTTTTTGGAACGTAAATTTTTTAAGCAGAAGAGGGTTGCTTTTTATTTTATGAAAAATCTAATGGCTAATGATCCTGCCAAAATAAATTTTAGCATCCAAAATAAAAATGAGGGTAAATAGACAAAATTATCCATCTTAAAAATAAAGTACATATCTATCATCGTCCTCTCGCCAGCCACTCTGCCGGTCCTCCGCCGCGGCAATCCAATTAATCCTTCAAAGGCTGATTGGTACAAACATATCATCGTCTTTCACTCTTTGTTGTCAACCCCTCCTGCTGGCTCTCGTCTCAGCTCTGCAAATAAATCAATTCTTTATAGCACCATTAGTGAAGGACTTTTAGATCTCTCATATATGTTCTAATTAACCCGAACTTCCAAGTCCAAGGAAAATTGCTCAACTTCTCAAAAAGAGTAGAGAACTTTAGAGATGGTAAGGTTAATTTTACCATGCACCAATAAGTTATGATCAAAACCCATCCAAATTTGATGTGAGTTGCTTCCAAAACAGACAAAAAAAATGGCATGTTAATTTTAATAAAAATCATGATGATCTCTTAATTTGCAAAAAAAAAAAAAAAGTGTAAAAGTATGAAAAATTGCTTGTTTATAGCACCGTGTTGCTTTCAAATTACTTATTTGTAGCACCGATGTAATAGTTTAGGTACTTCTTAACTAATATACATGTACCTTTTTTTAAAAAAAAAAAGATCTCAAACTATTTATTTGATTTTCCTCATACAAAATTTATTGTTCATGAGTGATATAAAGAAGGAAATACTTAGAGAGGAAGAAATAAAAAAATTTCGCTTTCCCATAATAGGGAACAAGAAGAAATATGGGCCTGAGAACAAAGATTGATAGGTTTTTTAGATTTTGCTTTTCTCCTTCGGGAGGGCGGAGGAGGGCTGTGGCCTGTGGGTTTCAGGGAAGGTTAATGAAAAACTATATATTTTGAAGGTGGATAATTACGTAATTTCAAATTAAATTTGTCCTGGATGCTTAGAATTTATTTTGGCAGAATCATCACCCAAATCTAATATATAAACAACTCTTACAATAACTGAAAGAGAAAAACACTTTTAAATCCCTAAAATATCTCTAAAACTCTACGTTCAAATTCTAAAAAATCTCCAAAACAAACTCAACCAAATTAATCTAGATAAAATTCAATCCTAACTAAAAAATTTATTCTGCTTAATTAAAACTCTTTGCAGTAAATAAAAAATTTAACCAACAAATTTTCTCCTTTTTTTTTACTGTAAATTTCTACATCTTCAAACCAAGTCTTCATATTCATCTTAATCTTCTTCACTCACAAGATTAATTTGTGGCTTGTTCTTGCACACCTTTTCCATATGTCCCATTAGTTTACAACCCCTGCATTGAACATCAGGTCTGAACCAACAGTATTGTGGTAAATGGGAAGGTTTCTTAGAGTGTTTAAAAAGAGGATATTTTTCTTTGCTGCCACTGTCTTCAACTGCCTTCCTATCTCACTTTTTACCTTTACCAGCTTTGTCCACTTTATAAAGTCCCTCAATAACATCTACTTTTTCCTTTCTGAAAACTCTCCTTTGCTCTTGAGCTTCAAAGGTTGAAAGTAGTTCTACTAGAGATATTTCTGATAAATCTCTAGTTTTTTCAAGGGATGAAATCTTGGACTCAAATCTTTCTGACAAAGTCACGAATATTTTTTTAACAACCCGGCTATCAGGAAGTTGTTATCCCAAAAGTCTGATTTTATTGACTATCTTCATCAAGCGATCTGTGTAGTCCTTCAATGGCTCTGTCTCCGACATCTTCTGCATCTCGAATTCTGTTTTCAAATTCAAGATCTGCATTCTCTTTGTGTTCACATTGCCCTGATATTCTTGTTTTAAGATATCCCATGCCTGTTTTGTAGTCTCGCAAGCCATAATTTTTATGAACACCTCTTCTGATACAGCAGAGTAAATACAGGTTTTGGCCTTGTTCCTCATCTTTTTAGTCTCCCTAAATTCTTTTAGTTATGCAATTGTTGGATCTTCAGGAAATTGTTTGAATTCATCATTTTTCACAACTCCCATAATCCACTTGCTTCTAGATAGGCTTTCATTTTGACGGCCCAAACAAGATAATTTTCTCCTTTAAAAACTGGAGGAGTAGATATGAAATTATCCCTCCTTCCATTAATAAAAGAAGATTGGCTAAAAAAAGTTTATGTTGAAAGGTCCTCACTGATTCACTGACACAGGCCCCCTAATTGAACTTAAGCTCTTATACCACTTTGTTGAAAAAGAGATGAAAAAGAGAAGAGATTTTTTTTTTTTTTGGAACGTAAATTTTTTTATCAGAAGAGGGTTGATTTTTATTTTATGAGAAATCTAATATATAGACAACTCTTACAATAACCAAAAAAAAAAAACACTCTCAAATCCCTAAAATATCTCGAAAACTCTACGTTCAAATTCTAAAAAATCTCCAAAACAAACTCAACCAAATTAATCTAGATAAAATTCAATCCTAACTAAAAAATTTATTCTTCTTAACTAAAACTCGCAGGAAATAAAAAATTTAACCAACATCTATCTTGTGCAACTCATTCTTCCTTTGATGTCCAAAATGGTGACATACCCAAAAAAAAACAAAAAAGGACAAAAAAATGTGAGCAAGGTCCACATTTTGACCAAACATTATACGGTCACGCCTTTAAGCTTTGTATTGTCATTTATATGGTTAATTTTTCAAATGAATATCACTAGTTGTTATCAATTTGAAGAGGCGGATCTAAGTGGAATGAATATCGTTAGCTTTTACCATGCGTTCTGCTCTAGCTGCATTGAATCTGTCTAGTCAGTGTGGTATATATTTTAATCAGGCACTTATGCGTACTGAAGCAATGAGAGAATCAGTAATAGACTGTACATAAGCAATCTCTGGTTGTTTTTTACTCTACATACTAAGCTACAAAATTTGTTTCTAGCATAAAGACTAAAAAGTTACTAACTGGACTTAATAATTCCTACAGAATTGAGAAGTTACATCAATGAAAATGTCTTCTCTGCAGGGGATTGTCAATCCTCCCATTGGATGATCGTAACCGAATTCTTCCTCAGCTTGGCTAAGCAATTCCTAGAAGGAGGATTGGTTCAAGTAAGCGATAGGAATCACATATCTTTTCCTCTCATCATCACTTTCTCCAACATAAACCATGCAATATCCCTTTGGAACCTCATATGAAAGCGGATTTCTTGAAGTGAAGGAATTAGCCCGCTTCAAGAGTTGCTTAGCTTGAATAACACGAGGAAGGCGGATTGCCATTTCTATGAAAGATGATGAATTTTTAAATTGGGATGAAAGAGGTCGGGTAATAGAAAGATACAATATGATATGAGTTAAAGAACTTGTATGTGCCCAACTAGTAACAAGGAAGAGTTTATGTAGGAGAATCGGAGAAGGAAAGTTTTGCCATTCTAATGAAATAGACATCAAAGTTTGGTAAATATAGTATCTGCTGAGTCAAGATCACATGCTTTTGCCTTATAAACCATGCATTTCTCTCTCGTTAATGACAATTTTCTGAATTATGCTTTGATTATGCTTTCGGACGGGAATTAAATGAAGCACCCTCGATCTATAAAAATAATTAACACGAGGCCTACATGAAAAGGATCACATGGTTTTGTCTTTATAACTAATGAACTAATGATCAAGCATTCAAGAACCATGTATTCTCTGTTGATCAGGTGATGAATTGGCCTACCATTTTCTTTAACAAAAACCAGGGAGGACCCTCAATCAATTTCAAAGGATTCATTTGTACTTGGGAAATCTGTAGGCTAAACTAAATCTATTGGCCTGAAAAGGATATGATCTTTCAAACCCGCCACTTGATCAACTTCAGAAAACCTTATACAATGAAGTTAATGGTGGGGGCAAAAGTGGTGAAGCAACGGATTAGGCAGAACAAAACCGGTGTTATCAACAGGGTCATCATCATTCATCAGCTTATATCTGCAGTTGACAAATTGCTAAATTTATCGATACTTTTCGAGTTCGCAACGATTCCAAGTGTTTGCAACTTACCGATTCAAAAGTATTGCAGATGTCGGTTGCTGACTTTACATGTTGAAACATTTGATTTGGCTTATAATCTACAGCAAATTGATGTATTAGAATGCATATTCTCTTAGCCTAAATATATGTCAAAAATCACCAAAGAAAGGTCAAGTTATGCCTTTCTTTTAAAATTTTCTGTTCAACATATTTTCAACAAGAAAGCTAAATCCTTCCCTTTCCTGTATCAAAATTGAAGAATCAATCGGATCAATTAAGCCCTATTAATGTTGTGTACTTGTGTTTTCTACAAAAATCAAGAACCGAACTCCCTCCTAACTGGAATTCTTCAATAACTTCAACAAACACAATTCTCAACCTGGACATATACATTTTCTATCACGTCAAGCCTAATTGTTCATCATTTTTATGTGATTGTATATATATAATTTTATTCTTTATATGTTTACCAGCAATGACATTATTTTCTGTAACAAGTTTGTTAGAGATGATGAAATAGAGGACGCTAAAAATCATTTCATGTCTGTCAGAAAGAATTTAGAAAAAAAAAAATGTTTATGCTTGAAAAAATTCATTTCTTGAGATGTCGTCAATTTAGAAAGGTGCCATTACATTATGAAATGGAGTACTATATTTTTATATGTCCAATACTATAATTAAAAAAAAAAAAAAACGCGTGCCCATGCATTTGGGATTTGATTTCTTTTCTTCCCTTCTTTTTTCTTCGAAAGATTTTATCCTCATTGTTGTGTATATTCCTTCATTGATCAAAAGTGGAATAACTCTTTTTTTTTTTTAATTTCAGCCACTTTAATACTCCTTCATTGGAGTATCTAATAATTGGTTCCATAATCAGAAGTGGAATAAATTTCTCCGTTATATAGTTTGTCATAATATTATTATCTCTCACGAGTCACGACCCATTGATTTGCTTTTAGGATTTTATTTTTTTTTTATTGCATAAGGGGAAAAAAAAATCAAATACATCAGTTTATTAGCTCTACGATTTCCACGTGACAATTCCCGAAATAAAAAAATAAATTCCCAATCGAATCAGACTTTGACGTGGCACTAATTTTGAGAACTGAAAAACACGTCGTTTTAGTCCCCTGCCTGGCTGCCTCCCTCCTCAACCAAACCCATATAAATAACAAACGCCCAGAATCAACAGAAAGCACTCAAAGCAAACGCAACATATCAGGAGGAGGAAAAGAGGAGCTCGTTCCATTGAAATTGCGGACATCCGTGAGAATCGAAAACCCGTTTAAGTATTTCTATTTAATCGCAATTCTTTTACCCTTCCAAGATGAAAGTTTGCTGTGTTTTTTTCTTCCCCTTTTTAAAGTTATTTTTGTCGATGTCTAATTTGTGATAATATGAATTTGGTTACCTAAATCACTACCTTGCTATGGAATCTTATTATTATTATTGTTCTTTTTGTTACATTTGAACAATATATGGAAAAATTTCTGTTACATAAGCGAAATGTTGGATTTTATTGCTGAATTTAGTTATTTATGAGCTTATTATGTAATGTTTCTGTTTTTCTTTGCAAGTAATCCATGTAGAATCAAGAAAGGGGAGATTAAAGTTTATTTCTGTTGGTTGTTGTTTGTTGGGCTAAACTTGAAATTTTTGGCTCCAAGAGTTTTGCGCAATCTATTGGGAAAAATTTGGGATGTAATGAATGTTGATTTAAGAGAATTTTCTGTTTATTTTTGGGTTCTGTTTTTTTTCCTCTTTCGGTGTTGTACCTTAAGGAGTTTGTTTTCTTTCGAATCTCTTTAGCGATTAGAGAACGATATAACATGATATGTCTCCAGAAAAGCTGTGAAATTGGATTAGCTGGAGTTGGATTGAATGATTATTTAGTTAGAGTAAAAAACTAAGATATTAAAAGACAAGAAGATATGTATTTTAAGTTAAAAGAAGAAGGGTAATGTAAAGACTGTATCATCCTTTTCTGAATAGATTAAGTTTTCAAGTTCGACAGTTAATTTCTGTACTCTTTGAAATCTGGACGATGTGTATCTTATGATTGAACACTACTTCTTCATTAAGTAAAATACCATTCCCCTGGTTTATATAACTAGCTCCAGAAGCTCAAAATACTAACATCAGAGTTATTTAGGAAGACCTGGCATTTTAACCTAAGATTGTGAAAGTTTTTATTTATTATAAATCTCTTAAGAGCATTCGTAATGATAGGAGATCATATTAATGTTCTTTGATGATACCTGTTGCTAAGAAAGGATGTAATGACATCAGAGTTATTTGTGTCTTCATTGTTCTTCTTAGAATTTGAACGAGCTTTTTTTGTGGAATATTTGGTCTACTTGGCCTAAAGCGAGTGAACAAATGAGAAAAGTGAAGAGGCTTTTCTTATTTTTTCATCAGTAACTCATGCCCTGGTTGGAAAAATGTAAGGGATAGTTTATGCAATTTGGAAGTTTCCTTAGGATCTCATCAGATTAATGCACATGGGTAGCTTCCCTATCATACAAAATATGCCTAGGACTAGAAACATTTATACATGTGAGAGCCAGTTATTAGTTATATTCACAATTGGAGGCAAAAGGTGCTACATACAAATATTCATTTGGTGCATATCACGTGGTTTGATAATCTCCTCTTCACATGAGCTTCCAGTTGCAGCTCACTGGGGATCAGGTTCGCACATAATTCCATTTTAAATAAAGCTAAATAGGAGCTTGTTCTGGGTATTAATGTCCATTTACTCATCGTAATAAGAATCAGGAGGAAAAAGCTTTTTAATAAATATAGCATCAGGGGACCCTTTTACTTCTCGGCATGTTTCAGGTTATGTTGTTCTTCAGTGTTGGCATATTTAGATTGTCAATGTTATAAAAGAAATGCAGTATATTCTTAACCTTTGTCTTGCTATACTGTTATTCTCGTAGACTCAGTTTCACTGTTATGATTATCATTGAGATGATGTTAACGGTGTAGTTTTACCACAGAGCACATTTCAATATTAATGTTTTCTTACAATGATGTAAAATGTTCCATCTGTAATTCTTTTGCTTTATGTGAACTTGCATGATTACCTGAGTGTTTGATTATGGGGACAAATTTTGTTGATCATTTTCATCATTTTCTAGTTTATCGAGGACATCTTCATTAAATCAATCTTATAATCCTTAGGTTTTGGGCTATGGGTTCCACAAATGGGCTCATTAATGCCCAAGGGAAGCAGCCCCTTCTTTCATTTGGGGTGATATCAGACGTCCAATATGCTGATATTCCCGATGGCCGTTCATTCCTTGGTGTTCCCCGGTATTATAGACATAGCATTTTGGTGCTACAAAGGGCTATACAGAAATGGAACCGCCAGAATCCTAAATTTGTTATGAATTTTGGAGACATCATTGATGGGTTTTGTCCAAAAGAACAATCTTTCAATGCTGTTAAGAAATTGGTTGAGGAATTTGATAATTTCAACGGAGCTGTTTATCACATGATTGGCAATCATTGTCTATACAATCTTCCTCGGGATAGATTGCTTCCCCTTTTACGAATCCATACTCATGATGGTCATGCCTTTTATGATTTTTCTCCGATTCCTGAATACAGATTGGTAGTTCTTGATGGCTATGATATCAGTGCCATTGGCTGGCCCAAGGATCATCCAAAAACAATTGAAGCCTTAAAATTCCTCTCTGAGAAGAATCCCAATTCGGACAAGAATAGTCCAAATGGACTGACAGATCTTGACAGACGGTTCTTGATGTTTAATGGAGCTGTTGGGAAAGAACAGTTGGAATGGTTGGATGGTGTCCTTTTGGATGCAACCAAGTCAAATCAAAAGGTAGTAATCTGCTGCCACCTGCCTCTTGATCCCGGTGCATCATCTCGCGAAGCTTTATTGTGGAACTATGATGAAGTAATGGATGTAATACATCGATATAATTGTGTCAAAGTCTGTCTGGCGGGACATGATCACAAAGGTGGACATTCGATAGACTCCCATGGTGTTCATCATCGAGTGCTCGAAGCAGCATTGGAGTGCCCCCCAGGTACAGATGCTTTTGGGTGTATAGATGTATTTGATGATAGGCTCTCACTATCTGGAACTGATAGAATGAAGAGTACTGAAATGATTTTCTCTTAGTTGACAAAGGCAATATAAGGAAGTTTATAGAGGTATTGACTCTTACATTTATGTTCACGCATACATTATATGATATGGTTTCTGCCAATCCATCTATAATCCGGATTCCGGAGATCCTTCCTTGGAGTACAGAATTAAAGCTTTCGGTAGTTGATGATCCTTTTACTCCTTGCAGAAAGGCATTAGTGATAGTGATATCTTTATACCAGTTGTAACCATATATGGAGAACCTTTTTCCATTGACATAATTAACAAGAAGTTTATTAAGTATTAATGAACTTCACATTTTGATATCTTGTAATGCTCATGAGGTAGCTTGTTGCAGAAAATACCCAGTAGTCTCTGTTACTAAGTGATTACTTCAATTAGATGTCATAAATATCAGGGATAAGCCGTTAAGGATTTATATTCATGCTCAATTTTACTTTCTGGACAACCAAAAAGGTCCTCAGTTTTCTTTGTTTTCGGTAATGGTTATATTAGAACACCAAAAATCAGACATCTATTTACAATCAGATCCCCAACAAATCTTAACTACTGCTTATCGATCTCTAATTTTTACGTGTCTATCTTTCATTCGTTGAAGCTTTGATACAACATCCCTAAACTGTTCGACATTTTTCTTGTTCAATAGGGTTGTTTCTCTCCCCACTATAAATGATAGGATACGGATCTTCTGTTTAACTCCGCTAAGCCGCGAAATGTACATCTGCCTTTTGCATTGTTGAATTTCAGTTGGAATAAAACTCAGTCCAATCCATTCCTACAATTGCTGCAAAAAAAAAAAAAAAAAAATCAATTATCTGCACTGGAAAAGCAAGTGCTGGAATGTCTCTCATCGGCTTCATTACATAACATGGATAGCCTATGATCCTCGGCCAAGTTATGCCGAACCGTCTTCTTTGTCCAAATTCGCTTCTTACGTACAAGCAATGCAATGAATCAATAATTTGGAACATTGCATCTTCCCGTTCAATCCAATGAAAACCAATCTCTAAGTTTCCTTTTAATTAACCAAATAAAAAATTATTCTGGATATCAACAATAAGAAATGGGATAAACGAAGTTATGAAGTGGAAATCAACCATGACAATCCAACTAAAGTCTCCAGGAGAAAAGAAGACTACTAAATGAAAATAAAAGATAATATAACTTCTTCCATTAGAGAGCCTTGGTCCTGCTACACCATCTATAATTTTTCAATGATCACACCAGCAACTGGGATCAAATAGGTCATCATCAGAAGTTCTTTAATCTTCTCTTCATATTCATTGACCGCCGCGAGCTTATGCTGTGCATCAAACCACTGACAGATCTTCCTAACTGCATCTTCAAACTTCTTTTTTTCAGTACATAAAGGGTGATGCTCCCTCATCCTACAAACTAAACTGTGGAGGGCACAACTTGCTTCATACTTCTTCATGCGCTTTTCGTCCTCGGCCTTGTACTCATCAGCTTCTTCGATCATCTTCTCAATTTCATTTCGTGTTAGTCTTCCGCTTCTGATTCTGATGCTGTTCTCTTCACCTGTATTTTTATCCCGCGCAGACACATTTAAAATGCCATTAACTTCCAAATCAAAGTCGACCTCAATTTGAGGGACTCCCCTGGGGGCTAATTGGATTCCGTCCAGGTCAAATTCACCTAAAAAATTGTTGTCCATTGTTCTGGCTCTCTCACCCTCGAACACTTCAACACGAACATCAGACTGGTAATCAGCCGGGGTAGTGAATGTTTGTGTTGTTCTGGTAGGGATTGTTGTGTTCTTAGGAATCAAAACCTTCATTACTTCTCCATTAAGAGCAATACCTAGAGATAACGGGGTAACTTCTACAAGCATTATGTGCTTAATGATGAAGCTTCGATTTGTATGGTGCTTAGGACGGGCGGCGATAATGACCTAGGCGGCGGCGAACGGCCTAAAACCTGCAAGACAGAGCCTCGAGTGTCTCCCGAGGGTAGACTCTCCGATGCTTAAGTCAATAAGGGAATAGAGATAATAGAGAGCAGGATGTGTATCGTGTGTAGAAAGTGTAGAAGATCGGTAGAAGATATCTATTATGGGAGAGGCACCACCTCTTTATATAGAGGTGATGTTAGCTGTTTCCTGAAATCTAGTCGTATTAGGTTTAGGAGCTGACTTAACCTCCAAGATAGCTGGCCCAAACCCATTAGGGTTAGGGTTAATTTATGACTCATCAAGTGCCCCTAACAAGCCATTTTCTCGAGACTTGATGAGAAGAATATGGGTTGCTACAAGTGTTGATGTCTTCTCGAGTTTCATGGTATTGTCCCAGCTCTCGAACTCTTTCGTTCTTGGGTGTCACCTGTACAAGATAAAGAGAGTAAAGTTCCTCGAGGAGGTCTTTGTATTAGTGAGTTCCTGATTAGAAGGGGGAAACCTGTATATGCCGAATTAGGAGGATGGTACCTAGATTCTCTTATTTGAAGATGAGAAACCTGTAGTTGCCTGTCGTACAGGACTTGTGGCTGTGCCCGACTAGCAGGTTTTATTTGGCCGTTGCCCGACTAGCAGCTCTTTGTGGGTCGCCCGACTAGCAGGTCTTATTTAAACCCGGTGCCCGACTAGCAGGTCTTTCGGTTCCTTTCTGATGTGGGGTGGTCCCCAATGCCTGATTTGAAGGGTGGCCCCTATATGTTTGGATGCTCGATATGCAATAATATGATGTATGTATCAAAAAGATATTGTCATATGATATTAACAATATGCTTATAACAAGAATAGCAGTTTATAGGCTTAGATTCGAGAAGCGTAGTTAGAAAAGATTTGAGAAGTTCCTCGGTTTCCAGTTAAATTGATTACTCGAGAAGGTTTTACCTCGATTCCGAGAAGGTATTATTTGGGTAGATGAAAGTCGAGATACGTCTTCTCGAACACTTCGAGTAGTAGTAAGATGCTCGAGGGATGCTTGCCCCTTCGAGGAGATGTATCTTCTCGAACACTTCATGTAGTAATATGGTGCTCAAGGATTGTTGCCCCTTCGAGGAGACGTATCTCTCGAAACTCCAATCTTCGAGATTGTCCCTAGCTAATTGTTCTTCTCAATCAGCTGTGGAGCAAGTGCAGCTCCTCGATTATTTATGCAATCGAAAGCTTCTTTGTGCTACTTGTCGGTTGATGTCTTCTTGGCCAAACAAAGATTATTTTTTTGCACGATCTTCTTGTTGCAAAATCGGAGCAACGAATTAACACCGTGGCTGCGAAAGATACAAAAGATTCTGTGATTCGCTAGAAAATTTATTTGGTAGTGAAGACCAAATAAATTGGTCCCACTGGGCGTGCCACTTGACGAAACTTAGATTTGTACGGTGCTTAAGAATGGCGGCGATGATGACCTAGGCGGCGGCGGACGGCCTAAAACCTGCAAGACAGAGCCTCGGGTGTCTCCCGAGGGTAGACTCTCCGATACTTAAGTTAATAAGGGAATAGAGATCATAGAGAGAGAGAGGGATGTGTATCGTGTGTAGAAGGTGTAGAAGATAGGTGGAAGATATCTATTATGGGAGAGGCACCACCTCTTTATATACTTGTGATATTACCTATTTCCTGAAACCTAGTCGTATTAGGTTTAGGTGGTGACTTAACCTCTAAGATAGCCGGCCCAAACCCATTAGGGTTAGGGTTAATTTATGACTCGTCACTGAACCTTCTCATTGCACAGACCACTAAAAATCGCGGTTTGAATCGCTGCACCATACCCAACAGCTTCATCTGGATTAATGCTTCTGCAAAGCTCCTTCGCATTCATCAAATTCTTCAACTGCTGAACCTTTTGAATCCGGCTAGAACCAACCACCAAGACAACATCATCTATAGCTTTTTTCTCCATCTGTGCATCTGCCAAACACTTTTCAACAGTCTCCATGCATTTGATAAATAAATCCGAGTTCAACTCCTCAAATTTCGCCCCGAGTAACATTGGCAGAAAAGTCAGTGCCTTCAAAAAGAGAATCAATATCTATTCTTGTCTGGACAGAAGACGAAAGGATCCTCTTCGCCCTCTCGCATGCTGTCCTGAGTCGCCTAATCGCTTTGGGATTTCCACTGATATCCTTCCTGTGCTTTCTCTTGAACTCCTTCACGAAGTGATTCACCATTTTGTTATCAAAATCCTCTCCGCGAAGATGAGTTTCGTCAACTGTTGCCTTGACCTCAATATTTCCATTTTTAGTGGTGAGAGCCGAGACATCAAAAGTACCTCCCTCCAAGATAAAAAATGAGAACATTCTTCTTGGATGTGTATCAAGACCATAAGCATTAATGATGTCTCTTCATCACATTATCAAGACCATAAGCAATATTCAAGACCACAAACCTACCCCTGTCAACATCCACATCAAACTTAAAAGTCTCTTCATCACATTCAAGCCTTGTCTTCACAGCAAGAATGATGTCATGCGGCTGAATATCATAATCAAACACTGGAATTAGGTCAATTAAGTAGCAGAAGTACTCTGCTTCAGAAATATTTCCCCTGCCACCAACCAATTTGGGTGGGACAAAACGCATTTGCTCGTCAACTTTATTGGCAAGGTTATGAAGCTAAAGATGGCGAGCAAATGCGTTTTGTCCCACCTGAATTGGTTGGTGGCGGGGGAAATATTTCTGAAGCAGAGTACTTTTGCTACTTAATTGACCTACTTCCAGTGTTTGATCATGATATTCAGCCACATGACATCATTCTTGCTGTGAAGACAAGGCTTGAATTTGATGAAGAGACTTTTAAGTTTGATGTGGATGTTGACAGGGGTAGGTTTGTGGTCTTGATAATTGCTTATGGTCTTGATAATGTGATGAAGAGACATCATTATTGTTTATGGTCTTGATGCTTGTTCCAAATTCACATCCAAGAAGAACGTTCTCATTGTTTATCCTAGAAGAATGTTGTAATCTCTCCAGCATCCATGGTTGCCTTACGCTGTAAATAGCTGAAATATGCGGGAACAGTTATGACGGCATCTTTCACCGGCAAACCAAAGTAAGCCTCAGCAACATCCTTCATTTTTGTCAGAACCATGGCTGAAATTTCTTTGGCTGCCAAGCATTTTTTCTCACCTTAGTAGGAGACAACAATGCTTGGTCTGTCATCACAACTTCGAATTACCTTAAATGGCCAGAGTCTCATGTCACTCTGAACTAAATCATCGCTAAATTTTCTGCCCGATCAATCTCTTAGCATATGTAGTGAATGAAAGGGATAAAAGTATTAATGACCCTGAATATGCTGATTGTCAAAAAGCCAGGTTTTGTCAATTTCGAGTAAGAATTGTTTCCTTCATACCAAGCGTCATTTTTGTTCATTCTACATACATTTTGTGATGGAGTAAGAGACATCTATTACTAACAAAACAACCCAAAATAAGATCAAACGGGGCAAAACAGAGAGACACATAAAATCAGGACCACTTTGTGGCTTAACTGGAAACATCTTAAAATGTATAAAAATCAAAGTCAATAACTAAAATGAGTTTAGTTAATTACCAAATACGGTGTTGACAGGATTCAAGGCAACTTGGTTGAAAGCTGCATCACCAATGAGACGCTCTTCATCCGTAAAAGCTACATAAGATGGCATAGTTCTGTTGCCCTGATCATTTGCTATGATTTCAACACGGTCATTTTTCCAGAAACCACACAAGAGTACGTAGTTCCCAGATCAATCCCAACCTCCGGATTCCCACTTTCACCGCTCATTTTTTTTGTTTCTGACAAGTCCATATCCATTACTGACATTGGACCGGCCCATTAACCGCATAGGAGGTCCAACCGACTCTGATAAGGCGGTTTACGTAATCCGAAACCTAGTAATATTCTGTTATCTCCCAGGTGCTTTCATGCCTATAAATAGGGTTGGTCACTCCACAATACGGGTACGCAATCTCTAGCTTAACATACTACACCTTCAAACGTTCTTAAAACCCTTTACTAACTTAAGCATCGGAGTGTCTACCCTCGGGAGACCCCCGAGGCTCTATTATGCAGGCAACCCTAGCCGGAGTTCCATTATTAGACCGACAGTGTAAAACCAAGCCTCGTCAAGTGGCACGCCCAGTGGGACCCGAAAACTAGGTTTGTGTCACGAAAACCTTCTCAGGTTTTCTTAACATCTTCCGGTGAAATCTAGGGTTGCAGGAACAATCAGCACAATGGTCAGGGTCGAAGAAGACACCAGCAGCACGACGTCTTCCGGCAGACGACATAGTCCGGGCGACAACACCACTCTAGCATAATTCCAACGTAGACAAGAAAGGAAGAAGGCGGGAAGGAACCATGACGGAGGACCTGAAAAAGAACCAGCCAAAGAACGCTTGGTTCTTGGTTCTTCCCGGCTAGATCCGAAGAAACAGGACAAGGTCAATCATCCACTTGAAAAGGAGGATGTACCTTCTCCTCGAAACACCCCTGCTGCCAAGAAGCGCTTGGATGATCAGAAGCTGGCCAAGATCGAGTCAGAACTCAAGAAGCTAGGGTTGCAGGAACAATCAGCACAATGGTCAGGGTCGAAGAAGACACCAGCAGCACGACGTCTTCCGGCAGACGACATAGTCCGGGCGACAACACCACTCTAGCATAATTCCAACGTAGACAAGAAAGGAAGAAGGCAGGAAGGAACCATGACGGAGGACCTGAAAAAGAACCAGCCAAAGAACGCTTGGTTCTTGGTTCTTCCCGGCTAGATCCGAAGAAACAGGACAAGGTCAATCATCCACTTGAAAAGGAGGATGTACCTTCTCCTCGAAACACCCCTGCTGCCAAGAAGCGCTTGGATGATCAGAAGCTGGCCAAGATCGAGTCAGAACTCAAGAAGCTAAGGGATGACAGCGATCAACAACAGAGGATGCGAAAATACATCATCGAGGAAACCAGGCGACGCTGTCTCCTTGAAAAACCTGATCCCACGGAACAAGATTTGAGTGATTTGATCGAAGAGGAAGAGGCTCGCCGAACCCTAGCCTTTCTCGAGAAGAAGCGAGAGAAGCGGAAAGTCCAAGAGAACGAGGATTACCAGGAAGTTGAGGATTATGAAGGCCTCCATGAAGATCGCTCAACTGCCACTCGAGACACCGTGTTCTGGAATGCTTTCAAAGAAAGATACCCAGCATTCGATACAGCCCTTGAGGAATTCGACGTGACATATTGGCGTAAATGTTCTCGAGAACATCATGGTTCCCCGAGTATCGAGGTTATGGAAGAAGGATAATGGAATCCTCCAAGGGGAACTAACGTGCACGACCGGCTGGGACCTAATTGGAACCGAAGAAGTCCTCAAAGGAAAGAGTATAGACCCGGCTATAAACAATACAAAAGTAACAACAACGATGGGGGCCATTATGACCGAGGACACCGTCACCGTCCTCAGTGCTCACCTTCCAGACATCAGCAATATAACAAACATAGAGAAAGTTTGGCTTCAATATGGGGGAACCACCATAGCCCTCTACTATCTTCCTAGAACCAGAAGCTAGATTTCTCTTTACTATATACCAGTCTTGGAAACTTGTCGAGGATGCTCTAAAGAAATATCTCTACAAGAACAGGCATGGTTTCATCTTTACTCGTTGACAGATTTTCACAAATCCAAGAACGTAGGTAATCACGTTCGGGGTGAAGCGTGCTAAGGGGATTTTATAGTAATCGACGATCTCGTCGAATAAAAGAAAAAGGGGGAATCTCATGCCTAAGAACATAAACCTATCATATATGGTGATTTTTCCTTCTGGAGGAGTATTGGCTCTCTCGTTTCCTAGGGGGGCTCTAGCTTCTAGATCTAGGGGCAGATCGTATTTGGTTTTCACAAAGTTTACCTTCTCGACACCATCTATGGAGGATGCAAAGTCGTCAACTGATTTCTGGTTTGGATCTCTAGCCATGATTATCTATTTGTAGGAAAATAGAGATTTACGCTACAAATTTAACCGGAGGAATCTAAAACGAAATTCAAATGATCAGATCTGAGGATTTACTATTGGATGGGAGAAAGACCACTCGCCTTTGGAGTTATATCCTCCAAGTTTCCTCGCTATTCCTCGGTCGTAGGTTTTCTGGCGATAACGTCACCGGGGCAGTATATCGAATCGGGCCTGTGAATATTCCGGCAAAGAGCAACTGGAGCGTTTTGGCAGAGAATGAAGCCTTAATATTTTGGAGGAAAAATAGAGGGAAGTGAGCTTTTGAGAGCTCTTCTGGTTATTTAAAGCCGAAGTTTAATCCTCACACGTTTTGCGGTTACAGCCCACGCTTTGACAGTTTAGGAGAATTTCAAGGACACCGTAATGATAGTAAAGCCGCCGTTTGGGGAACGTGCGCGCTAATGGTGCGCAGTTGAATAAATTGGGTGGGATTATGAAGCGGGTCACTTCCCCGGATCGGATCGTAGCCAGTAGGTTACTCGTCAAGCTTCCTCGATGCACTATAGGTCGAGATTGGCACATTTAACTTGGGCCTGCTTGACATATTGCTGGACTAGTCTTGTACATTACTTTTGGGCCTATTACAAGTAAGTTTATCTTGTGTCAAGTATTGTTTATCATGTACAACTAACACTTGACAGGGACACTTGATGAGTCTATATCCATTACTAACATTGGACCGGCCCATTAACTGCATAGGAGGTCCAATCGACTCTGATAAGGCGGTTTAGGTAATCCAAAACCTAGTAATATTCGGTTATCGCCCAGGTGCTTTCATGCCTATAAATAGGGTTGGTCACACCACAATACGAGTACGGAATCTCTAACTTAACATACTACACCTTCAAATGTTCTTAAAACCCTTTGAGTGTCTACCTTCGGGACACCCCCGAAACTCTATTTTGCAGGCAACTCTAGCCGGTGTTCCAATGTTAGACCGGCGGTGTAAAACCAAGTAAATGATCGTGTTGAAATCATAGAAAATGATCAGGGAAAATACTAATCAATCCAAAAATTCGTCCTTTATTCCTAATTATTCCCATTGTCTTCGCGGTCACCGGTACCGCCACTGTTCAACCCTGTACGAACAAATACTAAAGAAACCCAATTTCTCAAATTCCCCTAAACACCAAAATACCATTGAAATCATCATTGTCGAAGATAGATCCAGTATCTAGTGGCTTACACTTTGTCATCTTATGGGGAAAAATTTGAGAATTTATTTGGGAGACGTCGGAGCGGAGAAGATTTTTTTGGGTTTCCTTTTTTTCTTTCATAATTTATTCTATTTACTATGTAGTTAACCATGATTAATTACTCCGATAGGCAGAGATTTGCAAGGGGAAAAAACACGTGTCAGTCTCTTGTTAGATGTCACAGGACAGGTGATCTCCACCCGATTTCTCCAAGCCAGAATCATGTACAGAAACTTGAAAAAAAGGTGTAGTGTAATTAAAAGGTTTAAAACCACTAATAAGTTCTTTCTTTCAAAAAAAATAGGAAAAAGAAACGGCTATTCCTCTAAAAAATAGAAAATGAGACGACTGTGTGGGTTACTAGGAGAATGCAGGCTAGGTGTTTGTTCCTAGTTCCAAGAGATTCCGCCTTAGTTGTCTAGTGAAAGTGTCACCGGAGTTGATCATCCCTGGATCAAAATCTTGCAAATTAAGAGTGCCAAGAATTGGATTTTGATGCGGTTCTTGGCTAACAGGCTAAGTAAAAACCCTGACTTCAATCGGGTTTGCTTTCAGAAGCCGGAATGCAATGTCAGAACTAAATGATCCTACAATGAGGAAGGTATACTTGAGGTTGCATACTCTCCATCTATCTTTCTTGAAGTGGTAGTCTCCATCTATCAAATCTTGTTTTTGTATGATAATGTGTAGACACGTTGATAACAGTATCTTGTTGATGTATGATTAGGGTAAATCTGCCTTTGCCTTTCTATATTTTAAGCTGATTTATCTTAGTCCAGTTTGACACTAATAATAATCTCACAGTCATGATGTTTATCCCTGTACTTTTCAACAAATGTCCGAATCTAAATATTTTAGTAATTCTGTGGAGCCATTTAGTTCATGCTTTTCTACCTTGTCGATGATATCTCTCCATAATGTAACTCTTACCAATCCCAAATTTTTGAGCTCTGGTTTCCATTATTGGGTCTTTTCCTGTTCTCTCAATGGCAGTTCATACCCTGGCGTTCCCCAATTTTATAGAAATAGAATTCTGGTGCTGCAAAGGGCCGTACAGACATGGAACCGCCAAAAGTACTAAATTCAGAATGAATTTTAGAGAAATCATTGATGGATTTTGTCCAAAAGGACAGTCTTTCAAATGCAGTTTAGAAATGGGTTGAGGATTTTGGTAAATTCAACAGAGCTGTATATCATATGATTGGCAATCACTGCCCTGAATAATCTGCCTCGGGATAAGTTGCTTCCTCTATTAAGATATAGTTTCAGTTCAGGAGAGGCCTACATGATTTTTCTTCAATTCCAGAATACAGTTTTGCAATTATCGATGACTATGATATCAGTGGCATTGACTGGCCCAAGGATCATCCGAAAACAATTAAAACCTTAACAGAGTTCCAGATACTTTTGGAGCGGTAGGGAAAGAACCGTGGGATTGATCAAATCAGAAGGTGTACGTTTGTCACTTGACCCTAATGCATCATGTTATGGAGCTTTATTGTGTAACTATGATGGACTAGTGCTTGAAGCAGCACAGGAGTGCCCTCCAGGTACAAATTAAATTCGTTCCGGGTGAATAGCTGTTTTCAACGTTAGGCTCTTGCATGCTGGAACTGATAAGTGCAGGAGTATTGAATTGATTTTATAATAGTTGATAAATGCAAGAGTAGGATGCTTATAGAGGTATTGACCCTTTTTCTAGCATGTTAGTAACACATACTTTACATATAAAATCAAGAAGAGGAGTATAGAAGTAAAATTGCAGCTCTATGTAGATGATGATCCTTTTCCTAAGACATTTGTCAATTGTCACATTGCTATCGTGATACCTGATTACAATAAATGACCTCCACTGATAGGTACCTGGAAGTTGATTTATCAAGTCAACTTTAGATATTTGATGCTATGTCTATACTATGAGGTTCCTTTCAGCAATTAATGTTGCACTCCGCAGAAACTAAGCACCAGTCTCAATTAAGTTTACTTCATAATAACTTCACTGTGATGTCTGACCTGAAAGGGTAGAACTCTTTCCATCATAAACAATTTGACAAATTTATTTCTGGCTTGGGTCTGTGATACTTTTATCTGATAATATTACTAAATGGAGATCCTCTATCTCGCTCAGGTGTGTGTTAAGTTAACCGTACCTCATCAGTGAAACGATATCGTTTTAAATTGTTTAATGAAACGTTATTATAACTCAAAAAAGTAGGACAGAGAATGTGGTCATTAATAAACTACCAAGCTATAGAGTTGACTTAACTCTTCCCATTTCTCAGAAGACAGGCTGAGATTGTCACAGGAACGATTAGGAGGAAAGTGTAGGAAGAGTAATTCTTCTGAAAGTTGGCACCATAACAATAGATTAGTTCAACTAAATTATTGATGTGTTTGTAATTAGAATACCATTATCTACTTCTGACTCACTCCTTTGTTGATGCAAGATTCCATCAGAGAGTTGACAAGAGATGTTCCATCGTAATCTTTGAGATAATTCATCATTTTTTAAAACCATTATCAACTTATGTTTGCACACTTGTTATGAGTTTTGAGTTTTGACAATGATTTGTAGTAAATATCTTGAAAAGTAGTTCTGGTTGTTTAAGATTATTGATGTCATTATAACAAACGGGAGTTCCCAAATTCTGAATTCTGCTCTTTTTTCTCCATTGGTCGCACGTTACCTTGGTTTTGGGTAATGAAGGAGTTGACCTTTACTTCTAGCTTTGCACAACCTACATAAGAGTCCGCAATCTGCATTGCTTTTCGATAAACTAAAAGGACAGTAAAATTTTCTCTTTATTCATTGACTAGATTTGATTACCAACTAGGCCATTCCACTTGATTTAATTTATACAGTTCCGTACCCCAGAGTATCATCTAGTCTACAATCTAATTTGCACATTCCATTTTCCCTTTTTCTGTCCTCTTAAGGGAGGGGCACATGTAGGCAGAGAGAGATGGTTGAAACGCCGAATTCGAGTCGAGTTTCTTATGTACATGTAACATATCAAGTGATTATGATCTTCTACGAGTTTGCAAAATGGTTTCTCAATTTAAATGTAATACGTATCTATATAGTGATAATTCTTTCCGTGTTGGAACCTTTTGGTTAATTTCGTATCGTGTCACAAATGGCCAACCTTTGGAACTTATTTTTAAGGACATTTAGCACAACACAAACAAGCTGCTGCAATAAAAATGAGCCTTCCATATTGAATTATTGATTTTCATTACATGTATAGTACTCCATTAATCGTTGGACACAAAAGAAAACGTGTTCATTTCCTTTAACAACTTTCCAGTTTACAAAGAGAGATAAACGATTATGGCTTCCCACCATAGCTTAAGTTCCTTATAAGTAACAACTAACAAGTATGTTAAAGACACAAATTACACCACCAACAAACAATATCAAAGCATTAGCCACATTATACAATAGGGTAAAATCCAGAAGGGGGTTTTTTTCTTTTCCCCACCAAAACTCACTTCTGCTGGTGTGCCTTGGCCTTTCGCTTCTCGGCGACGAAGAAACCGAACAAGGACAAGACGGAAAACGCAGAGAAGCAGACGGCGGCGATATCAAGCGAGAGATGGCGGCCAGTGATCGCGTCGATCTCAAAGAAGGGTTGATTGTTCCCTTTGGGATCATCAACTGTTTGGCCAAAACCAACCTGTTCCTCAGCAGAATTAAAGGCGTAGGCTCTCACGAAATAGAAAGCACCCGGAATACTCCTCTCCACACTCCAGGTAAACGTGTTGTTGGAAGGATTATATGGCTTTGCAACAATCTTGAATTGGCAAGTCTTGTCTTTCTCCAAATCATCCACCGTCTTTCTCCATGCTCTGTCTTTCTGGCTCACCGGAGCATAACAGAGCTTCACCTTAACAGTCTTGTAAGCTGAATCTGTCCCGTTCGGGAACGACTGGTCGAATGACCATGCCACTGTGATTTTGTCTTCCCCAGCTTTCAAAACTGCAATCCCATTTACACAGAACCAATTAAGAAAAAAGGGTTCATTCTTTCATAAGAACAGAGGAAAAAATGTCAAAAACAGGGGATTTTTGAAAAGAAGAAAACGAAAAAGGAAAAAAGTATTTTACCTTGTCCTGGTTTAGGATCAGCTTTGACAATCAGAGTTCTCTTAGATTGAAGAGACTTGAAGCTAACACCACCATGGCAAGAGGCTGCAAAGAAAGAAACCAAAAGGAATGCTACCACTAATGGGATTGGGACACCAACTCCAGCAGCCATTTTTGAAGCTACCCCTTTACTCTTGTTTTTTTTGGAGAATGGAAAGACTTCAGACAAATTTGGGAAAGGAGCTAAATTAGCTTTGTGAATTGTGATGGATCTGAAGATGGAAGAAAAGGGAATTGAATCTTCTTGCTTTATATAGAGAGAGAAGAACTTTTGGAATATACTACTAAAGAGGGATCTAAAATGAACAACACTTCAGTAGGGACAAAGGGTAGCGTTGACTTATTGGCTCTTGGAATGAGGGGGGAAGAAAAGTCAATGGCCAACTTGCTGAGTGTGTGTTGTTTCTTTTTCCATTGCGGCTAATTGGACAGGTAATTGGCTCTAAGCCTAGTTTAAAGGATGGGGATAATCTTTTGGGATGGCTCTACTGTAAAAGGAAAAAAAAAAAAATTTGCTAGTCAACGGTACAACAGCAACTCTACCACAGGTAGGTGGACACAGATTCTGTTTTTTCACTTATTCTTCGATAAAGTAGACTTCTTTTTTTTTAAAAAAAATAACGTTAAGAATAAATTCATAATGTAAAATTGGAACATCGAAAATGTTAGCACACGATTGTAAATAAGTTTATGAGTGTGGTATGTAAAACAAAGTGATTTGAATTGGAATCTAAGTACTAATAAATCCTAAACTTTATCATCAACATCATCCTTCTCCTTTTGGTTGGTTTAGTATCTGTATCTAATTGATAAGTTGTACATATGAACTTGTAATTAATGATCTCTATATCTTATGTGTTACATTGATATATTGTCAATGGTTTACTTCAAAAGGAAAAAAAATGACCTCTACATCCAACATAAACGATAATTTAATTAACCTATTTTTTCAGGACGCATGTGGTACTTATCATGTGCAACTTCATTCGTGCACTCAATGAATTACGAGTACATCGTGAATGACATGGCAAAAACAATCCTAGAAAATTATATTTGAAGGTTTTCTTTAAAAATAGGGGAAAATAAGGAACATTCAAAATAAGTACTCCATCTGTTTTCAAAATTATTGTCTAATTTGAATTTTCACCTTTAGTTCAGTTTGATGAGAAATAGGAAGTAGTAATTTTGATCTACGAATTCGTTGAAAACTTCGCTTTTTTTTTTTGGTATATTACAGGGTATCCACCGTTGGCAACAGTAACTAATCCCCTCACTCGTGATAGACACCTCGATAGGTAGGAGAACTGACCAAAGAATTAAAGGTTACTCCATGCTCATGGCGAGGTTCGAACCCTCGACCTATGGTCAAAGGTGGAGGAATACTTACCACTCCGCCACAACCCTTTCGTTAAAAAAAAAAAAACCCTTTGGTACTCAAACTGCGCAGGTATGTACCATGTGAATTTCTGAAAGTAAATTAAGAAAATTAAAGCAACTTTGGACTTTCATTTCATTTTCCTTCATTTTTTGTTTTTACATAAATATCAGTTCTCAACAAATAATGAAACCCTGTACTAAAAGTAATCAGCATTAGTCAAAAGATTGACTCGAGTTACCTTTTGTTTACCTTTTGTTTGATTTTTCGAAATTTAGCTAAGAGTGATTTCAAACTTATGCTGAAAAGGTTGCTTGACCTTTTATCACAGAATGGGAAATGAAAGTGTTAAATAAGTGTAAACATGAGGACTGTATTAAAATGAAAACTAAATTTTATATTCATGTGTAGGTAATATACTAGAGGCAACTTCAACAAGGAAAAGAAAATAAAAAATTAGAGGCAAACTCTAGGGATGAGAAGAATGCATTGTGGGACGAAAATCCATAAATTGATAAAATTTGAAAGTAAGTTATTCAAAACTTATTTTGGTGCATAAGAAAATAAAAAAAAAAACCTAACAGAGATTGTAGATAGCACAAAATTTTTTATTTGTTAAATTAAGACAATACAATATGAAGAGACTTTTTTGTTGTTGGACAGAGAGAGTTGTTTTTTTTTTTTTGGGTGCAATTTGGATAGAGAGTTGATTGCTGTGGAAATCATAGCATTCTTTTAAGTGATCCTAGCTCGGTCAAATGCTTATCGTGTCTCTATAGAGTTGTGAAAGAACAATCAAAAAAACGAAAGAAAGCGAAAACCAAAGGAAAACAGTCTGATGCGAAAACGCTATTCGTTTCGTTCATTTTCAGCACCGGAAACAACTTGGCCCTGCTAGCTAGTTCATATCTTCCAAACACTTTTGCTTTAATTATTTGACAAATAATCCATTTGACTTTCTCTTGAAACAAAAGTCCCTTTTTCTTTTTTTTGGGGGAATCGGCCATTATATTTTGATTTTGACTCTCGATTAGAATAAATGAAACTTAGATATGTATATCATTAAAAAAAAATGCAGCACTACAATAATTATAGAACTATTATAATGCACAACGAAATATAGCAAAAAAAAAAAAATGCAGCATTACAATAATTATAGAACTATTATAATGCACAACGAAATAGAATAATAAAATACAAAGCAACAAAGTCACAATATAACACTCTTAACTCTTAACCAGCTACTAACTTAAGAACAATTTCTATGAATTCCTTCAATCCTTAAAATATTGTATTGTAATGTTTTATTCTATAACTGGACTATTTATTCGGTAGTGGCGGATCATATCACTCAAAAGAAGGGATTGGATGTCGCGTTACTGCCAACTTCAATTTGAAGTCTTGAACACCTGATATCGCCTTCTTTACTATGGTAGATTCCTCATATTTCCGGAAGTAGCCCTTGGTATCTTTGCATGTATCTGTCGGAACCTAGCAAGATATGCTTCAGCCGTTTCACTTGGTTTCCGCTAGACTTGTGACAAATCAACGATCGACAACCTTGGTGTGGTACGGTGGAAATTGTGAATAAATACCTGCTTTTAGGCATTCCAATCAGCAATAGTACCTGGTTCTAAAGTACGATACCACTCTGATGCTATTTCAGCTAATGAATAAAGAAATAATCGCAACTTCAAGAAAAGATTATGCCCAGCTTCACCACATTCCAATTCCAAGCGGCCGATATGATCTTCAGGCCATTGATCATCTTCTGAAGTAAACTTCTTGAAATCTGGCATTTTGTAATTCCTTGGCAGAGGTTCAAACTCAACATACTCCAGATACGGTTTTCCCATTACCTCAGGGACCTCTATTCTTAACTCCTTGCGTACCATATCTTCCACAATTATTTTGAAACTAGCCTCAGTAGTAGACGCAGGTGCGGTCTCTTCTTCTCGAGCAAAACCATCTTGTCGGAAGTCTCTTTCGGGTTCTTGATAAAGCTGTGCTTCCGGGTTGATTTTTCCTTTGTAGATTTCTAGCATCTCTCTTCGAGTATTGTTCCTTGCCCTAGTCCGATTCTTTGCCTGATTTGCTTCATACTCAATCCATTGTTGTTTTCTTCCAGCAATTCTTCTACCGTAAGAACATGCCTTGGCAAAATTCACGGTACAGCTTCTTGCTTTCCTCCTTGTTCCGGGACTATAATTCCTGCTCCCTGCCGTGGTGTCCTTTGAGGAGTCGGCATATTATTAGTTGAGGTTCCCAGTTGATTACCATATGCAATAAACCTTTGGTCATTGTTCGAGAGAAGATTAGCTGTAGGCGGTGTATTGGCTACCACTAGAATCGGCCGAATATTCTTTGGAGTTGGTATGGCTTGAGTTTGTGTAGTTTCAATATTCTGAGCCTGACCGTTCTGCCCACCTAGAGGATTTGGCAGAATTACGGATCTTGTTGGTGACACTATTCCTCATGGAGGGATAAAATTACCTGTTGGTGGATAATCGGGAACTCTTGGTGGCCATCTCATAGCTGGAACAACTGGTATAGTCTCATAATTAGATGCTGAACCTTGGGGATTTTCATAATAAGGTAATGGCCAACCATCAAAGGTAAAATTTCCGACTGACGGGATAAAAGCCGCCTGGTTGGGTTCAGCACAATAATACCAACTAGGGTTTGGTATCGGTGCACTTTCTAGAACAACACCGCTTGACTTATTCCGCTGACTGACAACTTGCACCGGTGTTGATGAATTGGAAAACAGAGGGTAATCATGAGTAAGTTTTGTAGATGGATTCAACAGTGGTACTCTTAATGACGCATCGGGGATTATCGGTGGAGTTTCAGGTGCCACACCGCCATTAGGGCTAACCTTTTAAAGAGACTGCTCTAACGCAGCGATATGGGCCAGCATGCTTGTGATAGTATTATTCTGCTGGCCTATAATGATTTGCTCAAGACTCTGGGGTGTGTTATACGCTGATTCTTTAGTACGTCCCCATTAGTCTAACCCTAATTGAGCATTGATCCGTGTTGTACCATGTTCCATAGTTTGTTCCATGCCTTGATTATCGTGACTTTGAGATTGATAGGAACCTCTCCACTCATGTTCCAGATTTTGATTCACCGGTAGAATCGGTACTCCTGACGATGGCAACGGAAGCGTTGGCGTTGTTCCTGTTTCTTCGGTTGATTTCGTCGCTTCTGTTGTTGACGGACCAGAGGAAGTAACTCCCGTCTGAACAAAAGTTGTTGCTTTTATTGTTGACATAGCTCCAAACCTAGTCAAGACGTGCAAATCAGTCTCGCTGGGCATGCCAATTATAGTTGTTCGAAAATAATCAGTAGAAACTGACGCGTGCTTGCAAACAATATCAAACAAAAGTGTGTAATTCGTGAGATGCAATATTCGGCTAGGCGTAAAAAAGAGAATGAGATAAAAATTGTAACAACTTGAATAAAACTGAATTGATGATAAATTGATGAACTTAAACAAAATACAATGAGTAAATCGAATAGAAAATACTTGTGAAAAAGTACTTGAAAAGAAAAATAGGGTATGAAAAGGAAGATAAGAGCTTTGCACCTTATGTTTATGTGTGTGTTCATGATGTGTTGTTGTTGTGTCGCTCTATTTTCTCTCTTTATATAGGGCTCGGTAATTATCTAGGGCGGTGCGATCTCCGATTCCTACTCGTACTCGACATTGCCGATTTTGAATTACAATTGAC